AGTGGCGAGACGGAGGACACGTACATCGCGGACCTTGTTGTGGGCCTCGGCTGTGGTCAGCTCAAGACGGGCGCGCCGTGCCGTGGTGAGCGTACTGCGAAGATGAACCAGCTGCTCCGCATCGAGGAGGAGCTTGGGTCACACGCCAAGTTTGGCTTCCCAGCTTGGGCGTAGACGGGAGGATGCTTTTGGGGAATGGGCAGGGACGTTAAGTAAAAGAAAATGGGTTTGCAATTTTCGCGCTATGCTGTGTGTGTTTTTCAGACAAGATGGGTAATGTGTAATTTCTGTTATGTCTAGCGTGCGGAGGAGGTCTTCTGTGGGAGGGAGAGAAAGGCACGGACAACGGAATTAAAACGTAAAACGAAAGAATGGGTGGGGGGGAGTATTATGGGTGCGTGCCAGTGACGTAGCTGGAAGAAGCTGTTTAGGAATTTTTTTTGTTTTTGTTTTTTGTTTTTTGCTATTTGTTTTTATTGTGTTTTTTGTTTTAGTTGGGATTTTGAATGGTGCTTGTGCTTGACTTTTGGCTGAGGACTTTAATGGCCCTTTTGAGGGAGGGGGAGGCAGCCTGGACTGGGAGACTGGCTGACGTAGTTCCTTGGTTTTCTTCTAGGTGTTGTGCTTTCGTGTGCTGTTTAGCTGCTGCATAGTTTCTTTTTTGGTTGGTAGTGGTGTGTGGGCATTTGATTGTCTTCTTTGCGCTCTGCTCTCTGTCCGCTGCGTGGGTTTTTGGAGGTGGTGGAAACGTGCAGGGTTGTGCTTGATGTCGTCCCTGACGGAGCTCTTGCTTGCCCTTGGCAACGGGGACCCAGCCGTGCGGGTGCCTGCGGAGCGGCAGGTGACTGAAGCGAGACAGGCGGATCTTTCGGGATTTCTGTTTGCACTTCTTTCGGAGTTCAGTGATGAGTCGAAGCCGCCATTCGCGCGTCACATGGCAGGCACTTTGCTGAAGAACTCCATCGCCCCGAACCTGCGCGATCCGGCGGCGCGGCGGGCGTCGGAAAGGGAGTGGATAGGCCTTTATCCCGACGTTCGCGCGAGGGTGAAGCAGGGGGTGCTGGCGTTGCTTGGCTCCCCGGCGAAGGAGGTACGCAGTGTGGCGGCAAACATTATTGGAAACCTTTCACGCATTGAGCTGCCCGCGGGAGAGTGGAATGATCTTCTGAATATTCTTCTTTGCGCCGCGGAGTCGAACAATGTTCAACACCAGGAAGCTGCGCTCACCGCAGTGGGATATGTGTGTGAAGAGGGTCGCGAACATGACAATGTGGGAAGGGCGCTAGAGCCTTTCACTAACAGAATCCTTTCTGCCGTGCTTCACGGTATGCGTAGTAGTGTTGAGGACGTATGCTACTACGCCACCAATGCCCTGTGTAATTCAATGGAGTTTATCCATGACAACATGAAGCAGCAGGGGCAGCGTGATCAACTTCTTGACGCCCTCTGCACCACCGCTAAGACAAGCCAGGCCGCACGCACACGCGAAAAGGCGATGGAGTCCTTGGTGAAGGTTGCTGACATGTACTACTCCACGTTGCCTAACTACATTGAACGTCTGCACGCTATCACAACAAGTGCCATTTTTCAAGATGAAGAGCCTGTGGGTCTTCAGGCAATGCTTTTTTGGATTTCTATCTGTGAGACTGAGCAGGAGATGAAGGCGGATAGTGACGCAAGATGCCTCGACTATGCGCTGAAAGGGGCGTCGATGATCTCGGGTATTGCGCTTCAGGCGCTTCTGCAGCAAGAGGAACAACAAGAGGAGGGTGATTGGAATATTTCCATTGCCGGAGGTAAGTTGCTGCAGAGCCTCGCATTGTGCATTGGGGATCCCGTGATTTCTTTGGTTATGCCCTTCGTCTACGACAGAGTTGGAAGTGCAAATTGGCGGGAAAAGGAGGCCGCTGTGATGGCGTTTGGGTGCATCTTAAATGGACCCTCCGCGAACGCCATTCAGGACACTGTGGCACAGTCTTTGCCTGGACTCCTACAGTACTTTCGTGATAGCCACCCAATGGTCGCCGATACCGCAGGCTGGGCGCTGGCCGTTGTGTGCGAGCTTTTCAGTGACGCCTTCTTGGAGCAGCCGGGTTTCCTGCAGCAGCTCATGAACCTCATCACCCCAGTGATAAGTAGCGGGAGTGCGGCGGCGGTTCGGTCGTGCCACATTTTGCACAACCTTGCTCTCGCCTATGAGGAGGAGGAGTATCAAGCAACGAATGAGCTTTCAAAGTACTTTCCGGACCTTCTCAGCGTGCTACTGTTGGCTATTGACAACGGTGTCAATCAGAATGTTAAAAGTGTCGCACAGGAGGCACTTAATGTCTTGATTGACGCGGCTGCTGTGGATTGCTACCAGTGTTTGCACATCCTGGTACCTGAACTGCATAAGCGCATGCAAGTTATGGCCAATTTACAGCTGCAAGGCCAAGTCAACAACGCAGAAGCCATGACGATGCTTGGACTGCTATGTGGGTCGCTTGGTAGTGTGGCGAAGAAGGTGCAGACCAACTTTACGCAACACCTGCAGTCAAGTATGGAGATCATGTTGCAAATCTTGCAAAATCAGTCCGATACTGTGCTGGACGAAGCGCTTACAATGTTAGGGAGCTTTGCACACGCCGTAAAGCTGAAACTTGTTCCCTACTTAATTAACGTTGTCCCGTACGTTTTGAAGGCGCTGCAGTGCGTGGATGAACCGGATCTCGCAGTGGTCGCTGTAGGCGCGTTGGGTGACTTGTCGCTCAGTCTGCGAGAGGAGATGGCGCCTTACATTGACACATTCCTCAGGGCTATCCATCAACACCTGCAAAACCCAGAGGTGGATCGTGAGCTGAAGTGCACGTTTCTTAACTGCCTAGGCGACATTGCGCTGAATGTTGGAGGTCAACACTTTGCTCAGTATCTTGACGTCTTTATGCAGTGCGCAGAGGCCTTGTATAGGCAGAGCACTACCCTCAACATTGCCGAAGACCCAGACGACGAGGAGTACGTCATGACATTGTGGGAGAGCATAGCCGTCTTCTACACAAGCGTGTGCCAAAGTTTCAAGAGCGCCGAAGCGCAATTGGCGCCGTACCTGCAGGCGATTCTCGAATTCGCCCTTCATGCGTCGACGACGGCGATGTCGCTGGAGTATGTGGATGTGTCCGCCGCGGCGGTCTCGCTTATTGGCGACATGGCGTGCGTGTTAAAGGGCGTCTCGTCGCAGGAGCTGCGCCAGCAGGGGAAGAGCGCTCTGCTGACGGAGCCGGTGTGGGCGGTGGTGAAGCGGGCGGTCGAGATGGACAACGACCCGGAGGCGAAGGGGCAGATGCAGTGGGTGGCGAAGCAGTTGACCCTGTTGCAGACATCTTAAACGGGACAAGAGCAACAAGAAGGTAACAGAATAAAACAAGCCAGAAAGAAAAAAAACACACACACATACACAAAGAAAAACAGGAGAAGCGTCATGCGGTGACGTGACTAAACTAATTGAAGGAACAGCAAGAGGAGAAGCAGTCACAGCGAAAGAAGAAGAAGTGGGGGAAGACCGCCTGCATAGAGCAGGGCAAGGGGATGGGTGTCAGCGGCCTGCCCGCCACCCCTGTGCAGCCTTGCCGCCTTCTGCTGTTGATTTTGGCGAGGGCTTGCACTTCTGTGCGGAGCCGCACAACGGCAACAACAACAGTACGTGCTCTGCAATTAAGGATTATGTAAGACACCATAAGGTGACGCACACCGGCGGCGGGAGTTACACGCAGCATCAGACAATGAGGAAGAAAAAAAAAAGAGGAAGAATGAATAGTCAGATCACGGAGATGGGACGGGTGGCCATTAAAGAAGGCGTCTGCCGAGAGGAAAGGTGGAACAAATATGAATAGGGATTGCAGAAGCGTTTAAGGGATAGGTGTCAAGACGTCTGCTTGTGTCTGTGTCTGTGTATGGGAGGTGAATGAAAGGAGAGGGAAGGGGAAGAAGGGTTGAATGGTTTCTTAAAATGATCCTCAATTTTGTCGTCGATGCACCTTACCAGAACTCCATGATGCATGTGCGCTCACACAGAGGCGTGCATATATATACATATATGCATATACTCATTCATTGGTCCACACTGTCACTCCGCTACAGTTGCAGCTTATTCAATTTGCCCTACTCGTATAAATGAAAACATTTTCCTCGTCGTCTTGGCCTCAGTGGGAGTAGGCTATTCGTTATTTCTGCATCGCTTTTTTTTCCTACACGCATATGGATGTATGTATGTGTGTGTGTGTGTGTGTGTGATCTCTCTCTCTCTCTATCCCTTTCTCTTTGTCTCTGTCTTATTTATTTATTTATTTTTGCGCTGGTTCTTGCTCATTCTTCGCTCTCCCTATTTTGTTCTCCGGTTTTTCCCAAGACGAGGGGGACTGTCACGGAAGCCCGCACAACACGCGCAACGAGAGGGGTGACGCTGCTGGGGCAAATCGCTGTGCGCGTGGCTGAGTGAGTATCACCGGTAACCGAGCAGTGAGCAGGGGAGGTGGGGCGGCGGACACACCGGGTGAAGCGAAAACGAAAAAAAAAAACAGGAGCCACCGCAGCCTTTACACTCGGGCAGAGGCGTATTAATAATACCTTCACACCAGTAAGAGAAGGCTTAAATGGACGTCATTCCCCCTGAGTACGATAAGGAAACTAAAGAGCGGATCTACCGTCAGGAATGGCTTGAGTACTTTAACTTCATCGGGTGGGATGCGGCGATGCGGGACCACCCGGAGCAGTTTTACGCCATCTTCCCGAATAACTCCAGCAGCTCGCCATTCGCGGCGAACAGCGCGGCGGGGGCGTGTCCAGATGCCCTGCTGACGCACGACATGCCCGGCGCGCATGCCCCCCCGCCCTTCCTCGGCGCCCAGCAGCAACACCACCACAGCCACCGACGTGCCGTTGGCGGAGGGCACTACGTCGGCTCGGTGCTCGCCGCGCCGAGCGCCACTACGGCGGCGGCGGCGGCGAGGCTTTTTCTTGATAGTGAGAGCTCCAGCGACAGCGGTAGATCCTCCTCCTCGTCCTTCTCCTCCTACACGGGGGGGTCGTCGAATGCAAGCGTGTCGTCGCAGCGGCATCAGCAGCGACATCGTCGTGAGGGCGGCGAGGCGGATGGCGAGGGCGGGAAAAAGAAAAGCTCGACGCGTCGCCACCGTCGCAGCCGGAGCCGCAGCGGCAGCGACAATAGCCGGCGCCGAACGCACCGTCGCCACAACTCGCGTCGCCGCAGCCCTCGGCGCGATGAGGCAACGAGACGGAGACGCGAGGAAGACCCCAGTGGGCGTCGAAAACGTGAACGGGAGGATGACAGGGAGGCAAGGCGGCACGAGCGACGGTCGCGCGGTAGTTACCACCCAGCGGAGGGGGAGGAGAATCGCCGCCGCCGCCGCCGCCATGAGGAGCAGAGCCAACACAGGTCACGCTCGGATAGGGAGAAGGAGCGGGACGGAAAGGCTGAGCGGGGGTACGGCAGGGAGAGAACGGCGACCGCCAACGCGGGTAGCGGCTCCAGCGACGCATACAGAGGGAGATATGTTCTGAAGGAGGAACGCGAGAAACGGCGTGTGAAGAGCGGCGGAGTTGGTGCCAGCGGCCAAGGGCCCACCGAACGGTACGAGGATCGCAGGGAGGACGCCCGCCAACGTCGGCAGCGGGACACGGATGACCGGCGCAAGCGTTAAAACTACAACAAAAAAAACAAACAAACAAACAAAGGTGCGGCATGGAAGTGGAACAGAGAGGGAAAAACACGACGTAGAAAAGAAGGGTGAAAAGCATTTGCCAAAACAAAAGAAGTCGCAGGTAGGGACGTCTCCTACGGAGAGGATCGTCCGAGACGAAGGGAGAACAACGGGGCATTTGCTTGCGCCCGGGATCCGTGTATGTTTGCTGCTCTTGTTGTTATGAGGTGGAGTGGGAAGGAGGATGAGCGAGATGAGCATTCAGATAGAAAAGGGATTCAAGATCGTTCTCACACAAAGCACTTTTTCTGCCTTTTTTAAAAACTTATTTTCCACTTTCTTCTTCTTATGGCATCGGTTTTCTTGCGGTCGTTGCGCCCTAAATTTCTTCCCCGCTTTGTTCTGTTCTTTCTTTCTCTTTCTCCCTCTCCCACTCAAGCCTCTACCGCCTCTGACGAGTTGTTCCTCCTCCCCACCATTTTTTTCCCCCACCTTTTTTTTTTGTGTTGTTGGCAGAGTTTTGTGCGGAGGCCCTGAGAGGTGCGAAGAGGCTCATCGGTGAGGAAACGGCTGACGGCGAGGAAAGATGGAAGGAATGAAGAAGGAAAAGAAAAAAAAAGAAGCAGCTTTAACGTGAACTGACACAAATATCCGGATTTGCGCAGAGTAAGAGCGAGGCTGAAGGAAAAAGAGGAAATGAACCTTCTGAGAGAGGTGTGTGGGCCCGAGGACACTGCGGGGGATAATGAGGAGAGTGTCGTTGATTTTGAGCCCTGACTCTGGCACTCTTCTTTTCTTATTGCTTATTGTGCGTCGTTTTCCCCCTTCCATGCGTCTTGCCCTACGTGGAGTAGACATAGATATTGCGGATTGTGGTGCCGGGCTGCAGAGGGAGGAGAAGGGGAGGCACCCGGCAACGCATACGACGCACGCACGCACCTCTGCCTACACGCAGACCCATTTATGGTGTCAAGAGGAAATGCGGCCACAAGAGTGCGACAGAGGCCTGGCACCGGAAACCGCCGCGGCGGGGAGGGCAAAACTCTTGGACAGCATCAACCGCTGAGTCGACGCTCAGCCACGCCTCTCACGTCTTCTAACGCGCTGTTCTCAATGGGGCCGTACACATACATCGTGCGGCAGCCAGCAAGGATGGAGTTGACAGGGGAGAGCAGGTGCAGGGCCGTCGGCGACGGCGAAGGGCAACGTCATTTGGGCTCGAAACGCCGCAGCGCGGATGGGCAAAGACAGACACAGGAGAGGGATCAGGATGAGGAGGCACCGCTGTGGATATCGCCTGTTGTCGCGCCCCGGCAAGGCGAGGCAACAGGACTTGTCGGGGGGTGTGAGACGCCGGACACGTTTGCCTTCTCTCCGCCGCCCCCCTCGCCGTGGCCGCTTGGCGCCAATGAAGGCAAACGTTGCGACAACGGCACTACAACGCAGGAACAGGAACGGGCTTCCACACCGTTGAATACGCCGCCGCAGCGTGAGTCGAACGTTGCGGCAGCCTCAGCTACACTTTTAAGTGAGCTGCTGCGTCGAGTGCAAAAGCGTCGCGAGGCGGGAGTTCATTCGTCCTCTCCTGCCGCCCAACACAAAGCGGCGGAAGCAGCGAGAGAAGCGTGGACGTCACCCCAGCCGCAGAGGCGACAAAAAGAAGAAAGCCATCATCGGCTTCATCAGAGGGAGAAGCAGCGGCGAATGCAGCGTGGTTGCTCTTTGGCGTCGCGACTGTACGGCGATATTGAAGAGCAGCGTAGCAGCCCCGACCGACGAGCCGCCCGACATCGTCGGAACGAGGCGCTGCGGTTTATCGGAATTGACGCTGGACGCGAGGAGGGCATCTTCACCGACAGCAACGTCACTTCCTCGGCAACTCCCCCCACTGTCCACTGCGCCAGCCTCGACACGTTGGAGTGGGGCAACCAACTCTGGAGCGGCATCAAGGAAGACGAGGAGCGCTTCTGTCGCTGGGTCGCGCAGCGAGGGTTGTTCCAGCGCGAGAACGCCGTTGCGCTTCGCGTCTTCACAGAATACCTGAAGAAGAAGGCAGATCGCTTGGAGCGCGACTGCGATGCGCTTTTTTGGTCCTCGCGCCAGCGTCCAACCCCAAATCCGCAGCAAGAGGAGGAGCGGCTTCATCGCCACGGCCGTTCCCCGCGAGGACCAGCGACGTCGACGGGGCAACTACGCAGTGCAACCCTCGGCGTCGAGGGGGCGCCCGGTGCTCACGCGTACAGCATCGAAACAGAGGCAGCTGCGGGAAGAGGGCTCCGGGCCGCAGCTGCAGCAGGCCAAACTCCGACGCCGGGAACGGCGCGTCGGGAAGCTTGCCGGGCCGAAGACGGGGAGTTATGCCGTGAGAGGCCCATACCACCGACCTCGCGATGCCGTGGCGGCGCCGAGAAAAGCACCCCGCTCGCCGCTTCACTGAGGCGCCGTCGACGGCCCGCGAAGATGTTGCACAATTGTAGCACCCCTTGCGACGCATCTTTTTTCTACACGGGGCACTCACTCGCCGCGGCGGAGGAGGAGGAAACATGGAGCAGGGGCGATGCCGAACGCTCGTCTTCCCTCGCAGCGTCTTTGCATTCGTCGCCTCGAGAGCAAACCACAACTCGACCGGAGCGTCACCGCCAGACAGACCGAAGCACCTCGCCCCCACCGCCACAGCAGCAACGGCGCCAGGATAGGAATGTGAAGCATGGCGTTGCAGAAAAAGAAGAAAGTGCCCCTGCGATTGTAGAACAAGGGTTGGGCACCTTAAGCGTAAATGAGGCCACCTCAACTGCTGCTCCCGCTGCTTACTGCACCTCACGCCTTCCGGCTGAATCACACGTTTCTGCTTTTGTGCCCAGAAATACCTTTTTTCCTCCCAGTGTTGCTGGAATAGAGGATGTGTCGACTGTGATTCGCCTGCGCAATTACTGCGGTCAGCTGGATGAGGAGTTTATGCGGCTCCTTCGTGAGGGAGAGGCGCAAGGCCACTGCTGCGACGCTGCGAGTGACACGCCTGCGACCGCTGCAGGGGCAACGAAGCGAAAACCTGCGCACCCAGTCTCCCGCATGGGAGCCACGACAGCAGGGGCCATGGATCGTAGCAGTCACCGCCCCGCTCTTTTCTCTCCGCCCCCACCTCCAAATTCCTTGCCAACTGCCTCGGCCCTCCTTGCCTGGCCACAGCATGCGCCAGAGACTGCTGGCGATGACAACGGCCTAACACAGTTTAATGTTTCCTCCGTCTCCTACCCTTCCTATGGTGGGCGCAGCTCCCTTCGCACAACACACCACGGTGAACCACGGAATGAGTGTGGCTCTGAGCAGGCGGTGGACTACAAAGCACCTCCAATATCGCGGAGAAATGTCTGTGAGGGAGCACCTACGCCCCCGGTGTCTTTGATACTCTCTGCTTCGAGTCTAGAGGATGAGCGCCACGGTGGTGGTGTCCAGGGCGGCATGTCACCACCGGTTTCATTTGTAGCTTCGCGTCACATCAGCCCCATGCCGCATGAGCTGCGCACGGTAACGCCGTCTGGTGACCTCAAGGAAATGGAGCACGTGCGGTCACTCGTTGCCTCCCGGGTGCCGAGCGTCAATCAGTCCATGCAGCATGACACTTCACTACGTTCCGGGGCAAACCTTCCCTGTGAGGCGAGAAAGTTGAGGCCGCGTGATGCAAACACTTCGTATGCCGCCTCGGAATGCACCCATGATGCAGCCGTTCAGAGGTCTCCGCCGATGTCTAGGGGAAATGTGCTGGAACCAGTGCCAACAGCGAGCCCGGGAGCGAAGTGCCAGCATCTTGTTGAACCCGTTGCTGCACCAGGGCAAATAGGTGGGAGACTCACCGCAACACCAATCCTTGACAAGAACGTGACGCCTGCGGAAGATATTGGAGGCAGTGTCGACTCACACGAGGCGGCGGCGTTCTCACCGAATGCACATGGAACGACAGCGCCTCTAGACAGCTCAAGTAGAAACCGAACTGGAGAAGTGCCCCAATTAGTTACCCACAAGTCATTCTCTTTACGTGCTGAGGGAGACAGTGAGGCCACCTCAGTAAACTCGCTTCACACCAGAAGAAAGAGAACGGGGTGCAGGCAGAAAAATAGAGGACCTGGAAATGTGGCATGGAGCGGCAGCAGCAGCAGCGGTAGTAGTAGCAGTGGTAGTAGTGGCGAAACTGTTTGTGGTGTTGACATGAAGAAGCAAGGGCTGCTTCCCCAGACCCCAAACGGGCGAGACCGCTTTGGTCTTCTTATGAGCGGTTCCGCCTTGGCCGCGGCAACGCCAGTAGCTCAATCTAGCTCTTCGTTGGAGTTAAATGGCCGAGTCGACAGTCATATTGCCAAGACGCGAGATAAAATCGACGGCCCGACAAGTCTTGTCGTGAGGGAAGGTGGAGGCTTTTCGGTGGTGCACGTCGCCGGGAGCAACCAGAGCACCCCACATAAAAGCCCGAATCCGTTTTTTGTGGGTGTGATGAACCCTGGGGGAGGCAATGTCAATGGTCGCAAAGTGGCGGAGCGTCTTGACGGAGGAACGGGTGCCCCGCGTTCCCGTCGGTTTGGCGTTTCCAAAGAGACTCACTAAGAGCCTCCCCCAAGCAAAAGAAAAATGTGCGTGTGGGGATTACCATTTTGAAGCGTGTCACACGCGTTGCGATCACTGTCTCCTACCGGTTCGCTGGCTTCTGTGAAGACAGAGGGTGCGGGTGGCTTTCTGTAGTTGTGTTTTCTTTGAGTTGTCTACTTGAAGGCTGGCATGTGTAGGTTGGGTACGTGGTTTGCTCTGCGAGCGGCGGCGAGAGGGCACACATGCGGAGAAAGCAACCTGCTCTTTTGTTGTTCTTGTTTGTGTTGTCGTTGTGTGCACGGGCGCAGGCACGGTCTCGCCGTATTCCTCGCCTGTGGAGTAGACGGATGTAAGATCCCCGCTATTGTGTGTTTTTCCTCCCTTTCTTGCCCTTCCCATCGCTCCTTGTGCCACTTGTGGCTGCCCGCGAAGCCGGTCCGCATTCCACCTTCTGCGCACCGCCACGGCCGGCAAACAATATATATATATATATATATATATAAATATGAACGAAAATTGATCTGCCTCAGTTCCCGTTCCTCACTTCCCCTCCCCGCCTTTTATTTTCTTTTGCTGCTTTTTTATTGCCCATTTTTGTAGCGGGCCGGCGGCCGTGGTCACGCACACGCACATAATTATATATATATATATATATCCACAAATAGTTATTGGTCCTACCCGTAGTGTGGAAGGATCAGAAAAAGAAAAGGTTGCTTGGGGGGAGCGGCTCTCATACCCACTTCTTCCTCCGCTTCTCAACCAGTGGGCTCGGCATTATTTCACGAGCACAGACACAACGAGACAAAAAAAAAGAGAGTGACGCATTGAGGAAAAGGAATTAAAAGAAAAGAAAGCAAAACAAACAAGAAACAGAGGTTTAATGGGCAACTGTTGTGCATCAAGTAAAGTCTCAGTGGCAAAGAGTACGGCCGCGCGCCAGGAAAGGGGCGAGGCAGCGAATTACCAAAAGAACTCATTTGAGTTGCACCCTGAAAGGCCCGAGCAACCCCCAACTGAGTCACGGCGTAATCTCTCCCAAGGTCCAGGCGAAACCCCTGAAGGGCAAGAACGAAAATGGGTCTTAATCCCGCTTCCAGAAGACAACACGTTTGACAACATTGGGGTCGGTAGGGCAAGAAAGGAGGAAGAAACCCCCACCTCCGCTGCAGCGCTTGAGAAGAGTGCTCAGAATCCGAAAAAAAACGACAACCCTGATGAGCTGGAGAGAGCGCAAGTCTACGATAGCCTCGAAGCAGGGGGGGTCGCAGAGTTGACACATCCCTTGGCTGCGGGGATCGCGCCCGGTCCAGCTCAGCCGAGAGAAACTGGCGTTCCTGCCAAGGTGGTCTCACTGGCATTGAACGACGCACGTGAGTTGAGCACTGGCAGTGTCTGGAGCGCCCCCGAGGTGGAGCGGCACGAGGAGGGATCGGAGATGGAAACGGTAGCCGGGCCCACCTCCACCGCCATTGCCATTGCCGCCGCGCCGGCCCTGCCGCCTCCGGTGCGATTGGGCTTCAGTGACAGTGACAGTGAGCCTGAGAGGAGTAAGTCCAAGGCGGAGGCGGAGGCGGGGAACACGCGGAGCGAGCCTGACGTGCTGGTTGCGAGTGTCATGGTGTTGCCCGCTGTTGTATCCGAGGCGCTGAGGGCCACAGAGGAGGAGCCGCCACGCCTCTTGAACGATGAACAGCAAAACCAAAAACCGGACCGCGGGGAGGCAAAGGGTGAAAGTAACGCAGCTGTCAGAATAAACGAAAAGAAAGCAAGGGACCCCGCCGATGGTGTGGAAGAAGCTGAAGCGTCAGAAACGGTGCACCCTAGTCTCCCCTCTAATAATATGATCCACGACAATGAAAGCAGTGTTGGTAGCGATGGTGGTGGTGGTAGTAGTGGCGGTGGTGGCAATTTACTCGCGCATATTATCCGACAGAGTGCGGAAAAGGAACAACATGAATATGCAGCAAAAGATGTCAGGGAGGACGGTGAGCAGGGCGCGTTGAAGGCGCATGAAAACGTTGTGGAGTTCAATCTGGAATTTACTGACGAAGACGGTGAAGATGCCGGGGAACAGCACCTCTCGAGTGGGGGCTTGGCGGTCATCAGGAACGTCGCCTCGGGTGCGGGGGCACACAAGGAGCACCCTGATAAGGTGCTTAACTTGAGCGACGGCGATGACTCTGTGGACAGGGCGGGTGGAGGAAGCAAGCAGGAAACCGGTGAGAGCAGTGTGTCGAAGGCGAAGAGGAACTCTGTGGGGTGCGTCGACAGCGGTAGCAGTGATGATGCGGGTGAACAGGAACGCTTGGTGGCGATTTTGTCTCGCGTGCAGCCGAAGCAGGAGGATGGGGAAAAGGAACTAGAAGAAAAAAATGCGTCGATGGTGCCCCTCCACGGCGGCCTCGTTGAGGCAACAAAGTTCGAGCAGCTTGTGGCACTGAAGACGACTTCCTCGCAGTGGGCGCAGCAGCCTGTGGTTGTTGCCGCCAACGACTCTCTCCCACCTGGGCGCCCCCGCAACACCGCGATCATCTCTCCGCTCCCTGTGACTCCCCAGAGCAAGGGCAGCATTGACGACTAGCATGACAGCCGACTTTTCTAGTGGCTACAGTGTGAAACAAAAAAAAAGGCCGTAAAAAAACCTAGAGAATGAAGATGGAATCCACATTTCAGGAAAACGAAATGATGCGTCGCAACCAATTTTTTGCAGCCAAAGTGGGTCATATAAATTATTTTATATAATTATTTTTATCTCCATACCGTTGCGTGTGCCTGCGAGAGGCATCCAGGTTTAACTGTCATTCCCCGCAGCGTGTCAAATCACGAAAGGACAGACCGTCAAAAGATGCACCTATGCACATATATATATGAGGGGTAGGTGGGAAGAAGGAGGAGGGGGAATAGACGTCGTTGGTATTGTGGTCGTCGTAACAAATACAAGCTTATCCTTGCCTATTGTTACACCTTGATGGCTTCTTTCAAAAGCAAACGTGGAGAAGGAAGGACGCACACACACGCACATAAAGAGAGAAAGAGACAGAGAGAGACACAACTGAAAGTTAAAAAAAAACGTGAGTATTTTGTATTTTTGCAACGTGAAGAAAAAGTCCACGGATGTGGGGAAAAAGTCCACGGATGTGGGGAAAGGACAAGTGGGGAGGGGTGATGTCTGGCGTGAGTGTGTCTCCACTCGCTCCTCCTTGTTTCCCCCTCGTAACCACACATTTGACACACACGCATATATTTGTATTTGTTTGTTTGTTTATACCGTTCCCTGTGTAAGTGTGCAAAAATGTACACATTAATGCCCGTGGCTCTCCGCACGGCCGTCGGCATTTGGGTCATTTGCTTTTGAGCTGCTTTTTTTTTCCTTGTTTTTTTTGTTTTGTTTCTTTTTATCTTTCTTGCCCGCCATCTATCACCCTGCGGTGGGCCTACTCCCCCTGCTTTGCATAGACGTGGCCAGCAAGCGCACCACCGACACTCCCTAGCGAGAGGCGGTGAAAATGTGAGGAAAGTGAAAAATTGTGGCACATGTGTGTTTGCTGGACGCGTTCAGGGGAAGAGGGCAAAAGACTGTTGTTTCATCTGTATTTAATTCATTCTTATTGTTGCTCTTTTTTTTTCTCGTTTGCCTATATGGAGCACGGAGGTTGCTGTTCGTGTGTGTGTACCCGATATCCCGCTGCCGGTGTGCCTTGACTTATTGTTCTGCTTCGCGGTGGGCTGTGCTCCCGCCCACCCCTCGTGACCACTCTTCCTCTATCCCCCTCCTCTGCTCTTTCTGTGTTGTCGCATGGATGCGGGTGTCTAAAGCCTTCCTGCAGCTGACCGGCGACGCGCGGCTCTCTGCACAGCGGGCGTTGCGGGGGTTAGGAAGTGAAGCGGGAGGCGCCTGGTCGGCCGCACGCGCAACGGACGGAAGGAGCATTTGCCGGCGCGGGCTCTGAGACGATGGAGGGGCCCTGGAACGCAGACCGCACCCCTGACCCCGACACGCGCGGTGGTGGCGGCAGCGGGGGCACCAAATGCAAAGAAGTCATTGCTGCCGAGGCACTCTCCCCGTCCCCTTCAGGACCCTTTTCTGCCACGGCGTTTAACCGGATTTGCGGCAGAGTGCAGAACTCATTCTCTAGTGGCAAGTCGTTCCAGCTGCCTCGGTGGTGGGATACGGGCCGGTCGCGTTTTTTGAAGGTGAAACGTGATGGCGCAACCTACGCCGTTCTGTCGGGCAAAACGCCGTATGATGTGGGGTACTGTTTTCGCGTGCGTAGGGATGAGGGGCAGAGGAAGGCCTTCTTCACGCCGGTGCTGGCGTCTCCCGCCTACGTCTCTGGGCAAGCGGAGATGGAAACACTGCCTGATATTGTGTCACTTGAGCGCACGGCCCTCCGCACGGCGGTGAAAAACATTTTTGCTGAAGCCAAACACACTGTCACATCCGAGGAGCTTGACAAGTTAGTTGAGGAACACGCGGAAGAGGGACTGGGGTACCTGACTACTTTGCGCGCGCTGCATCCATCCGTACCGCTAGCGTCCACACCGCAGCCGTCAAAGCAGCCACCGCCGATCGAGAGCGACCCGGCAGCGGCACTTGCCCGAAATGAAGTGAATTCGGAGGATACCTTTCGTCCAGTGGGACATCCATGCCCGGAGTGCCGTGAGACCATGAAAGAGGGCTCTTTTCAAGAGAACGAGGGCATCATGCGTGGCACGCCTCAAGCCTCTTGCCCATTACAAACACCGCAACAACAACAGCAGCAGCGGCGAAGACAGCTTGAGGATGTGAGCCAAGGTCCGAAGGAGAGTACAGACTCGAATGGCTTGTGCGGGATCACCGAATGTATGCATGGCCTGTTGCAGGAAGTCAAACACCTTCGACAGGAGTTTCAAACTGCCCTGATGGAGAAGGACTACATCTTGAACAATAACCGTTACCTTCAGGAAGGAATGGAAACCCTTCTGAGGGAGCGTGTCGACGTTAGTGAGTGTGTGGAGCGACTACGGGAGGAGGTAGCGCAACTTCGTGAACGCCAGGTTGCTGTCGAGGAAGCGTTTTGCGAGGAACTTTCCCGTTCGCGGAGGGAAATGCCGGCAGAGCCTGCGGCGGGAGCTGGCGCACAGCCTGTGGCTCTTGAAGAGGTGAGAGAGTCTCTGAATGCGCAGCGTGAGTCTCGTCGGCATGTGATGCAGGTGCTGGAGAAGCAGCAAGACTTAAGTCGGCAGATGGGCAACTTTGCAGAGGCTCTCTGGGCCTCGCAAGAGCACACAGAGAAGCTGTTGTCCACGCTGGAGCGGCGCGATCGCCAGCTTGTGGCTATGCTTGCGGAGGCTACCGGGCTCCGCCAGGAACGACGGCGGCTGCGGGAGAATACGAGTTCTCTGGACGGCGATGGGGGGGCAGGAAACCAAGGAAAAACTGCGGGAAGTGAAGTGAGCTCGCAGGACTCGTCGCAGTCTGAGAGTGCGCATAAGGCGGCGGCTCCCCACGGCGCTATTCCCGTGAAGGTCGACCAGGCTGCCACTGGGAACAGCAATAACAATACCGCGGGCGACGCGGCGGCTGCGCGGAAGTCTTTTGTTCACCGCCACCGCCAAAGCCCCAACCTGAGGGCTATTCATCCTGTTGAGTGGCGGCACTCGCGGTGTCCCCCCGCGTCTGGCGACTCGCCAGGCGGCGCAGAGTCTCCTCCCCGTCTGGCCTCTGCGAGGGGTCTGGCAGGCCTGCCGTCGCAGCCGCGTACTCGCACCACGCTGCACACTTCGCGTCCCCGCTCGCCATACACCGCGCTGGGTTATACAAATGAGACGTTTTTCCACAAGCACACACCAGACCGTGGGGTGGGTCTCACGATTCTGCCTTGCAAGAGGCGCCAGAGTTCGACAGGGCGGGGATCGCGGCAGCGGCCGTCGCTGAAGGGCAGAACCGAACAGTTGGAACTGCATCTTCTTTCGCAACCCCCCATCTGAGTAGTTTCTGGAGGGGCTTGGATTTGCGGTGACCTTGCTTCTTGTCGTTCCTTTCTCCTTGCTTGCATGAAATCGCAACACCGCCGAAGGAGTTGCTCAGCGTTGTTTGCTGCTGCTTTCTTCGCTCCCTCCCAGAGAGGGGTATCGTTCTTATTTATTTACTTTTATTATTGTCTTTTTCTTCTTCTTCGCGTGTGTGTGCGTTGCGCCCATCACGTGGTCGTCTTTCTTGTCTCCTCTTATTTTGCATGTGTGTATGTGTTTTCTATGTCTGCTGGGCGATGCCAATTCCGCACACGTGTCTTCCTTCGCAGTGGGTTGACTCTGCCGCCGCCGCTGCACGCAATTGCCTGACTCTCTTGCTCTGCGCCTGTTGTTGTTCTTCTATTACTTTGGCATTCCCCACACGCGTCCGTCGGCAGTAGGGGCGACGCAGCGGGCAAACCGGAAGAAAAAAGACGTCTCGGATGGCCGGCGGCTCCGCCGAAGAGGCCGCCGCGTTGATGAAGAGTGCCGAGAAGCACTCGCAAAAGAAACTCTTCAGACGGCCCGACTGGGACACGGCGGCAAATGAGTACGAGAAGGCCGCGAGGATATACACCTTCCTGGAAGACACGACCCGGGCGAGCGACGCCTGGCGCAAGGCGTCTGAGACGCACCAAAAGGCCGAAAACAAATACTTTGCGGCACTCGCGATGGAGAATCTTGCCATATTCCTGGCGGAGCAGGCCCGGAAGGGCATTGCGGGCCGTGCGTCTCTCCTTAACACTGCCGTTGAGGTCTACTGTGAGGCGTCTAAACTCTACGCGCTCAACGACATGTTTGACAGGCAGGCAGACACATTGAAGAAGGCGGCTGAGGTCATCGACCCGACAACGGCTCTTGCGGCTGCCCCCTCGGAGGAGGTGGACGGGGCGAAACTGCAGCAGGAACGGCAGCAACGAGTGCAGCAAGTGGCTGGTTTTTTCCGTGAGGGGGTGGATGTGCTGGAGGAGCACATTGAGGATAAGCCGGTTCTTGCGACGCAGCTGCCCGAGCTGTACCGCAGCTGGATGTTGACGCACCTCCACAACGGCGACGTGAAGGGCGCAGTGGAGGTGTTGGAGCAGGAGCTTGGCATCCGCACCGATCCCCGCAAGAAGGGCATATTTGAGCGACTGGGCCAGCCACACAGATCCGCAAAGGTTGGGTTAGAAATTATCGTGTTGTGCCTTTCCTGCGGAGACGAGGTGTGGGCGGCGCAGGAGATGAATAAACTGCGGAGTGTTGCCGGTTTTCTCACTTCAAAGGAGGAGGCAACCGCAAACGCGCTCCTCGCCTCCTTTGAGGACCGCGATGAGGAGCAGCTGCAGGCCGCGGTAAAGGATCAGACGTTGCAGTTCATCACCATTGACATCTCAAGGACTGCAAGGAAACTAAAGCTTCGATTTAGTGCCCCGCAAAGAACTGAAGTGGCTGCTGCTGCGGCAGCGTCTTCGCCGCAACAGTCACTCGGTGAACTGCAGCCGGAACCGCAACAGCTGGAGGCTGAGATCGACCCAGAGGAGGATATACGTTAACTGGGACCGGGAGCTGAGCTGGGCTGGGTTGGGTCTTGACGAGGTGTGCGTGGTATGTGCCGTGGGCGTTCTCTCTCTCTGTCTCTGTTGTGTGCGTGCGTGTCT